TCCATTTCAGCTAAATTTTGTGGATGGTGTAAGAAAGTGGTCCTATTTCATTGTTTTGCATGAGGCTGTCCAGTTTTCCCAACACCATTTATTGAAGAGACTGTCTTTTCCCCAGTGTATAATGTTGCCTCCTTTGTCATGGGTTAATTGACCATATAACCGTGGGTTTATTTCTGGTCTTTATATTCTGTTCCATTGATCTGTGTTTGTTTTTGTGTCCATGTCATACTGTTTTGTTTTGTTTTTTTAAGATTTATTTATTTATTTGTCAGAGAGAGAACGAGCAAGATCACACACAAGCAGAGGGAGAAGCAGGCTCCCCACTGAGCAAGGAGCCTGTCAGGGGACTCAATCTCAGGATCCTGGGAACATGACCCGAGCTGAAGGCAGTTGCTTAGCCAACTGAACCACCCAGACACCCCGATATCATACTGTTCTAATTACTGTAGTTTTGTAGTATATCTTGAAATCTGGGGTTGTGATACCTTCCACTTTGTTCTTCTTTCTAGAGAGTGCTTTGGCTATTCAGGGTCTTTTGTAGTTCCATATAATCTTAGGATTATTTATGTTCTAGTTCTGTGAAAAATGCTGTTGGCATTTTGATAGGGCTTGCACTGAATCTGTAGATTGCTTTGGGTAATATGTCCATTTTAATGCTATTAATTCTTCCCATCCATGGTATATCTTTCCATTTGTTTGTGTTGTCCTCAATTTCTTTCACCAATGTCTGATAGTTTTCAAAGTATAGCCCTTTCACCTCCTTGGTTAAATTTATTCATAGGTATTTTATTCTTGTTGGTGCTGCTGTAAATGGAATTGTTTTCATAATTTCTCATTCTGCTACTTCGTTATTAGTGTATAGAAATGCAACAGATTTTTGTATATTAATTTCATATTCTGCAACTTTACTGAATTCATTTATTCAAATAGTTTTTTGGTGGAGTCTTTAGGATTTTCTATATATAGCATCATGTCATCTGCAAAGAGGGACCATTCTACTTCTTCCTTACCGCTATGGATCCTTTTAATTCTTTGTCTTGTGTGCTTGCAGTAACTAGGATTTCTAGTACTGTGCTGAATCAGAGTGGTGAGAGTGGACATCCTTGGTTTGTTCCTGATCTTAGAGGAAACACTTTCAGTTTTTCACCATTATGCAAGCTGTGGATTTTATGTGTGGCCTTTATTATGTTGAGGTATGTTCCCTCTAGCCCCACTTTGTTGAGGTTTTCATCATGAACAGATGTACTTTGTCTAATGCTTTTCCTGCATCTATTGAGAGAATCATATGGTTTTTATCCTTCCTCTTGTTAATGTGATGTGTCACCTTGAATGATTTGCAGATATTAAACCACCCTTGCATCCTCGGATTAATCCCATTTGATTGTGGTGAATGACTTTTTTGCTGTATAGTTGAATTCTGTTTGCTAATATTTTGTTGAGGATTTTTGCATCTATGTTCATCAGAGATACTGGCCTGTAGTTCTCTCTCTTTTTTATTTCTTTTTTGTAGTGTCTTTGGTTTTGGTATCAGGGTAATACTGGCCTCATAGAATGAACTTAGAAGTTTTCCTTCCTCTTTTATTTTTGGAATAGTTTGAGAAGAATATGTATTAAATCTTCTTTAAATGTGTTGGAGAATTGACATGTGAAGCCATCTGGTTGTGGACTTTTTGTTTGTTGGGAGTTTTTTGATTGCCAACTCAATTTTATTACTAGTAATTGGTCAGTTCAGATTTTCCATTTCTTCCTGATTTATTTGTGGAAGAGAATAGGTTCCCAGGAATTTATCCATTTCTTCTAGGTTGTCCAATTTGTTGGCATGTAAATTTTCATAATCTCTTATAATTCTTTGCATTTCTGTGGTGTTGGTTGTTATTGCTACTTCATTTCTGATTTGATAGAGTCCTCTTTTTTATTTTGTTTTTTTCTTGTTTTGCTTTTTTTTCCTTAATGAGTCTGGCTAAAGGTTTATTAATTTGGTTTATTGTTTCAAAGTATCAGCTCTTGGTTTCATTTATATTTTCTACTGTTTTTTTTTTTTTCAGTCTCTATTTCTGCTCTAGTCCTTATTTTTTTCCTTCTACTAGCTTTGGGCTTTGTTCTTTTTCTAATTCCTTTTATATATATGGTTAGATTGTTTATTTGAGATTTTTCTTGTTTCTTCAATATAGGTGGGCCTATATTGCTGTAGACTTCCCACTTAGAACTGCTTTGGCTGTGTCCCAAATTTTGGATTGTTGTGTTTTCATTTTTATTGGTCTCTGTTTTTTTATTTCCTCTTTGATTTCTTCACTGGGGTCTTTCATCTCCCTGATTCAGTTTATTCCTAGATATTTTATTCTTTTTAGTGCAGTTGTAAATGGAATGTGTTCTTAATTTGTGCTGCTTCATTATACTATGTAGATATACAACCGATTTCTATATATTATGTATTCTGCAACTTTACAGAATTCATTTATTATTTCTAATATTTTGGTGGTGTCTTTAGGGAAAAACACAGGGCTTTGAATCAGACAGAACTGCATTTAAGTCCCATCTTTTCCATTTCCTAGTCACATGGGCATGTTGCTGACTTATGTAAAACATTAGGGAATGATTGGTAAGTACAATAAGTATATATTTTAATAACTGGCACATAAAGTCTTGACTAAATTATAGTTTTCTTTCTTATATGTGTGTTACCTTTTAGATGTGCTAATTTTTCAGACCACTTGAGCAGCAACCTTTCTATCAGGAAATCTCACCCTTCTTGTCATAAATATTTTGTCATTCAGTTATTCATTCACTCAACAAACACCTATTGACCAATCAGTATGTGTCAGGGATTGCGTTAGGGACACGGAGATGAAGAAACTACATAACTCCTGCCTCTAAGGGCTGACCTGGAATTTGACCTCTGTTTTCTTCCTGAGAAAAAGAGTAAATGTGGCAAAACGTTCCTAACTAGTAAATTAAGAAGAGGGCACATATTAATTGTACTGGCCTTTCAAAACCTTTCTCTGAATTTAACATGTTTTAAAATAGAGTTGGGAGAAAATGTATTTCTGTTACTTGGCAGTTGTAACTCTTGAAAACCATTACCACATTCCAGTTTTTCAGCATGAGGTTTATCAGACGATTGCTAGTCGCCTAGCCAAGAGCCTTAGGAGAGGAGCACTAATGGGACGTGCTGGGGATGAGAGAGGACAGTGAGAAGCGCCTGGAAAAGTAGCAGGTGTGGTTCCCTGGAGCCGCACGGCAGGGGCTTGGGGCAACTGGGCACTCAGAGATTGAGGGGGGCCAAACAGGAAGTGGAGGTGGAAGCCAAGGGCCGGGCCCCAGGCTTCAGTCCTGCCCTGTCCGTTGTCCAGTCTCCAGCCGAGTCTGAGCAGCCCTCCCAGGGTGTGCGGGCGTTTGTCCCATTCTGTGCTCTCCACCACCAGCCACTGACGACTGAATTCAAGCTTGAGGTTAAATACGTAAGCCCTGGAGCCGGCAGCCCTGTGTGACTCTCTGCCTTGCGGAATGAACTTTGACAAGCTAGCTAGTCCTGTCGACGACGAGGCTTGCTCTGTGCCTGATGGACTCGCAGGAGGTTGTGCGTGAGACCCTCCTTCCTGAGCCGACGTGTGTAAGGCGGCTGGCGCGGGGCCTGGGCGTGGTACCCACGTAGTACCTGTGCAAGGGCCTCCGTCGGCGGCGCTGCTCCGCAGCTACACATGCGCAGAAACCCCTGCTCCGGGCCTCTGCCTCACCCCGCCCGCATCTAGTGCGGCGGCGTTTGGTCCGCCCTGCTGCCGAAGACCCAGCCTGAATCAGACCACCGCTCACGCCCTGCGAGGCCTCGCCTCCATCTCTTGGCTGTTCCCTGTAGCAGCCACCTGACTGCTCGTTCTGCTTCGGCTCTTGTCCCCTCACCCCCAGAATGTTCCCCACAGCACACATTCTCAAGCTTGATGGAGAATGTCACCTCCCGCCTAAGCCCTCCAATGGCTCCCATCAGCCTTGAGTGAAACCCCATCCCTAACCCTCACGGCCGGCGTGCTGCCGGCTCTGCAGCCTCACCCCCCACCCCCTTGCTCACTGCATTCGAGCATGCTGGCCTTCTTTCTGTCCCCCAGACACACCAGCACTCGCCCTCGCCTCAGTCTTTGTGCTTGCTCCCTCTGCCCGAGATGCTCCTCCCGCGAGTCTCCACACGCTGCCTGCCTGTCCTTCAGGTCTCCATTCAAATGTCATTTCCTCCATGAAGTCTTCCCTGACCATTCTCTCTAATGTCCCGTGCCATCTCCACCCCCACCAGTCACTAGTGCCCTGTTGTATTGTCTTTAAAGTGCTTGTCGTTATCTAAAATGATCTCCTTTATTTCACCCTGGTATGTCTCCCTTATAGAATGGAGCCTCCAGGGAGGTTCACTGTTTGTCCAGGATACAAGAACCTTGTGTCTTATTCACGGTCTTAGACCATAACAAAATACCGCACACCGAGGGGCTTAAGCACCAGACATTTATTTTCTCGAGTCCCAGAGGCTGGAAAGTCCTAGATCAAAGTTCTAGCACAGTTCAGTTTCTGGTGAGTGCTTTCTTCCTGGCTTGTAGACAGCCACCTTCTCTCTGCAACCTCTGAGTATTTTCTCTCATTTTCCCCTTGCATCCCTGTGGAGAGATGAGAGAGTGAGAGCTCTCTGGTGTCTCTTCTTATAAAGACACTACTCCTTTTGGATCAGGGCCCCATCCTTATGACCTCATTTAACCTCCATTACCCCCTTGGAGGCTGCAACTTCAAATATAGTCATGCTGGAGGTTGGGGCTTCAACATAGGAATTTCAGGGGGGGTGGGGGGACACACATATTCAGGCTATAACCTTCACCACTGTGTCACCAGTACCAGAATCTGGAAGACAGCCTGGCATGTAACAGGCCCTCAGTAAGTATCTGCTAAATAAACTAACGAATCATGGCAGCTCATTGGCCTGTAAGTTCCTATGTAAGTTGCCCCCCATCTGGCACTCCGTCCTGCAGGTCAGGGCGTGTCACTGTACATCCCCCAGTCCACCATCAATGCCACGGTGGAGGAAGACATCCTGCTCTCGGTTGAGTACTTCTGCCACGGCGTCCCCACCATCGAGTGGAAGTATACGTCCAACTGGGGAGCGCAGAAGATCGTGGAGTGGCAGCCAGGGACTCAGGCCAACATCTCCCAAAGCCACAAGGACAGACTCTGCACCTTCGACAATGGCTCCATCCAGCTCTTCAGTGTGAGCGTGAGGGATTCCGGCTACTATGTCATCACGGTGACGGAGCGCCTGGGGAGAAGCCAGTTTGGCACCATCGTGCTGCACGTGTCGGGTAAGACGGGGGCCCGGGCACCCCGCCGAACTGCCAGCGTGTGGGGGTGTGCCTTCTTGATACTAAAAGAGACCTTGTCTGCCCCTTCCCCTACCCGCCCCGTAGAGATCCTCTATGAAGACCTCCACTTTGTTGCTGTCTTCCTTGCTTTTCTCACTGCGGTGGCCGCACTGTTAATCAGCCTCATGTGGGTGTGTAATAAGTGTGCATATAAATTCCAGAGGAAGAGAAGACACAAACTCAAAGGTAAAACTCTGGGCCCTGCGATCATCCATCACGCCTTCATGGCTGAGGTGGTGCCCGTTAGCCTGGTCTCCCCAAGAAACCACCCGTGGCCGATCCACACCTGACGGGCCTGTCTTTTGCTTTGCAGAGAGCACCACTGAGGAGATGGAACTGCAAGATGTTGAGTGTTAGCCAAGGCTGCACCCAGTTACATTCCTACCTCAAGAGGAAAATGTTATTTTTCCAACAAAAGGAGCAAACCTGGCCGATCCACCCTCAGAGCCTCCCGTTGCCCGGCCTGGGCCAGTCATTCCTGAAGGCACTGCGGATGTGAGCAAAATCGACTGGAGTTGAGGACTCTTGCTCCCCACACTCTGGGGCCGAGGCCAGAGCGTGTCCAGACTGAGCGTGCAGCCAGCCCTGGACAGGCTCTCCATGTCCTTTCCCTCTGCTGTGGGAGCTGCTGGGAGAAGTTCGACAGGCCGCCTGCCAAGCAGAGGTGGAGGCCGCGAGCCTGCTGTGGGGCCCTAATGAGGTGCTCAGAGCAGGGCCAGGCCCTGGGCCGGAAGCTTTAGGGAGGGGAGCTTCACTCGTGCCCGTGGGACCAGCACTGGAAACAGGAATAGGGAGATCACCTTTCTCTTCCTCTCTTATTCCAGCGTTAATCAGATTTTCCCTCCATGGCCCCAACTTAGGCCAGTGTGAGGAACCCACATGTTCATCGCCACTGGGGGCAGCAGCTGGGGTCCAGATGGCTCCCTGACAGGCTGGGTAATGGTACCTGTGTGAAAGCGAGCCTGCGTGGGGTATGACCATGCACGGTGGTATGACCAGGACGTTAGCTTGGGCTTCAGGTCTCTGCAGCCCCCTCCCCCTGTCACCAATGCTTTGTCTCAAGTCAGGCCCTCGTGCTCTCCCAAGTGGGCTTAGGAACGCTTGGCCCTCACCTACCTCATAGGGTATCATGGGAAGCCCACGAATGCATAGAGCTCCCCAAGCAGTTGAAGAAAAGCATGAGGATTCTTCAAGGATCTGGAAAGCAGTAAGTCCTCTACGGAGCGCTACCAAGTGAGAAAACGCTGTGGGGTCTTGGGGCTTCAGGCGAAATGAGGGCCTGGATCACAACTGGCCTCGGCTCTCATTCTCTTGGCTTGTTAGTCACCATGTTTACCTGAAAGTGTCTCCATCGCATCTTCCATTTGGTAAGCTCTAAAGCAGGCATGAATTTATTTTCCATTCTCCTTTCTCTCTCCAACATTCTTAGCTACAGACTAAAGGCACCACCCCAGTTACGGTGGAGGCCGAGGTCAGGAGCTAAGTCCCCAGCCTCCACCTGCAAATTCACCCATGCAGACATGAAGGAGAGCTAGAACATTCCCTCCTCTTTTCCTTAAGTCCCCAGTGTCTACATCTGTTCTACTTGCCATGTGGCAAATGAGAAGTTGCCTGGAGAAGTTGCTAAGAGGCCTTTCTCTAAATAATCCAAGGTTACAAGGAGAGATCTGGAGCAGTTGGACAGGAGCTCTGTGACCTTCCAAAAGGACTCTAAAGGCACTACTTGATTCAAAAGGCAAGAGAGCAATTGGTCCACACAACTGATTGGTAGCTGGAGCGCCTGCCACAGAGAAGATTCTCAACCTCGGGCCACTTCCTGTATACGCACGTGTCCTTTCCCCAGGCAGCAGTCGGAGGAGCCAGGCCCCAGTGCCACGAGGAAGCAGGGTGGGAGTACCAGAACAAAGAGAGGGTCAAGGGACATCTGATCAGTTCTTTCTTTCACACAGAAGGCCCACTGGCAGGAAACGGATTGGATCAGGATGGCTGCTGGAGTCCGTGTGTCCTCCTTTATACTCCCTACTTTCCAGAACTGAACTTCTCAGCTTGTCAGAAGTCAGGGGTGGTCATCTTCAGAATAAAAGGTGAAATGGAGGGGCGCCTGGCTGGCTCAGGAGGTAGAGCACACGACTCTTGATCTCGGGGTTGTAAGTTCGAGCCCCATGTTGGGTGTAGAGATTACTTAAAAATAAAATCTTGAAAAAGGAATGGCAAAGCATACCTAAGGAGAGGCCTCCATGGACAAAACCAAATGTAAAATAAACTGCCCCCCAAAACTCATGAAAAGTTAGCCCACCTGGCTTTCCATTTCTTTATTTTGCACTTTTAAAGCTCCCTCCATCCTGAACATTCTTGTGGAAAGTGTTCATTCCAGAGCCTGAAGTTGGTTTTTTTTTTTTTTTTGGTCTATTTTCCAAAAAAGAAAATATTATGTTCTAGAGGGTAGCCACTGGAAATGTTAAGCTATAAGTTATGTTTTAAGCTGTGGAAAAATATTAAAGAATGAAATAAAGCCTGGAAATAAAGGCCGGGTGCTTTGTGTGTGAGCCCACTCCTGCCAAGCACTCAGAGGCCCTGGGGGAGGTTTCCATCGGCTGTGGGCATAAGCATACTCCTCGGCCTCTGCCATGGGGCTGGCATGTTTTTTAAATGATCAGGGAATAATGACATTGATTCTAACTGTAAACATTCTTTAGCAGTCCTGAAAAACAATCCCTAATCAGCCCATCGTTCAGCCCTGCGTCTTCCCAGAACACTAATTTGAAGTTTTTACTTCCAGAATATTAATCGTAATTCAATAGAGTCCTTTCTGCTTCTGGAAAGGGCTGAAATAAAGATGTGGCCCGTGTTACCATCTCGTTCAACAGCAGGTAAGATGCAGGACAGAACGTTCATGCTCTGCCAACAGAACATCCTCTCAGATTGCGATCTAAGAAATTAAAAAGGTATATACTGTACTTTCTCATTTCCTGGTGTCTTGGGCATGGAACGAGGGCGGAATGCCCCAGGGGGCGGCCCTCACAGCTCGCTGGGCTCACTCGGGAGTGAGGCAGCGCGGGAGAACCGAGCGATCGGGTGTGTGCCCAGGGCAGGAGGCTGCTGTGAAACCCCAGGGCCTGGGGGCAGGGGAACGTCCTCTTTCTCATCGGTTTCCTATCCCAGCCCAGGTGGCCACTGGCCAGGAAGCAGGAGACACCTCTGGTTTAGGGAGCGGAGCCAGCCCTGTGGCTACTGTTGATGCATCTGTCCACGAACACAACTTCCCTTGGCCCTGGTGCCTTTCCAGCCCGATACGTGCTGTTCCATGCTCGACTTCCATGGCCCTTTAAAAATTGGGTGGGCGTTTTAGCTTGGTTTAATTGCAAAGGTGAGAAATCCTCCTTTATTATTTTTTAAAGATTTTATTTGAGAGAGCATGCATGTGCGAGTACAAGGGGGTATGGGGGTGCAGACTCCCCACTGAGCAGGGAGCCCCACCTGGGACTCAATCCCGGGACCCTGAGATCATGACCTGAGCCAAAGTCAGACACTTAACTGACAGAACCACCCAGCACCCTTTAGAAATCCTTCTTTAAAATTAAAATGATACTGGGGTGCCTGGGTGGCTCAGTTGGTTAAGCATCACTCTTGATTTCCATGATCTCAGGGTTGTGTGATGGAGCCCCACCGCGAGCTCTGCGCTCAGTGCAGTCTGTGCAGTCTGCTTGTCCCTCCCTGTCCGCCTGCTTGCTCTTTCTCTATCTCAAATGAATAAATCATTTTAAAAAACATTAAAATCAAAATGATACTGGAGTCTATATATAAAGTCAAAAGTAAAGTTCTTCCTCCCTCAGTAGTATCCCTCTAGACCTAGGCATATGTGAACCTGTCCTTCTTGGTCTCTGCATACACAATAGTCACACATCACAGTGGTCCATCCATTTTCCTTTTAGGCAAATGGGATGCTGTTATACATGTTGTCCTACAATTTGCTTGTTTTCATTTCATGTTTCTTGGGCATTATTTCATGTCTCTACCTATTCCTAAACTCCATTCTTCTTGCCTGCACAGTGCGATCCCTAGAATGGATACGTTACGGTTGTTCACTGAAAACTTTTCTTTAAATGGTATCTAAAAATACATCTTTCTTTTACAGCGATCATTCTTTTAGGGCAGACTTGTTCCTTCCTCTTAACTAAATGCATTCAGCTCTATTCCTAGGAATCCTTCCCTCTTTCAGGACTTCAGAGTCAATGTTTTATCTTATTGGTGGGGTTTATGGTAAAACTTATCAGAGACCGTTTGGGGGAGGGAGAAAGAGCATTGCTCATGTAAAATAAAGCTAAAGTTTTCGCTGTAGATTTGACCTTATAACGTGGACACATGGGTGGGTAGAATTCCTTGGATTCAACAGACCAGTGATTGTGCAGGTGGCTCTGGCCCTAAAAATGCTAAAAGTCTTTTTCCTTCAGGTCCCTTGGTTTGCAAGAATTTTTTACTAACCAAAATGAATGTATTAAATAATAACTTAATTTCCTGTTTTTATTAATCAACAATGCAAAAGTGCCAATTAGAATTCCTGGTCAGGGGCGCCTGACTGGCTCAGTCAGAGGAGCATTCAACTCTTGATCTCGGGGTTGTGAGTTTGAGCCTCATGTTGGGTGTAGAGGTTACTAAGAAAAATAATCCTTTAAAAAATTTTTTAAAAATACGATTCCTGGTCAAAATGAAATAATCAGGGGTATCACTTTAATTGGATGGTGTTCTGGCAAAGCCATCTGATAGCGAAGTTTTGTTGGGTAAGTGTAGGATTTCCTTTAGGCTTTTTCAAATAGCAAACACAGATCATAGTTCTCTGTTGCTGCCTTTTTTTTTGGGTCCAAGGGGCTCGGATTGGGAGTACTTGTAAAGCGAATCAAAAGAAGAGCCGTGAATAGATTTAGGTGAAAGAGATTGTGCCACTGGCTTCAGCAACTTGGTATACTCACTAAATTATCAGGAAGCTTTTCAGATTGTATGTTACTGTTTTTTTTTAAGGATTAATCTTTTTTTTTTCTAATCCGATAAATATAGCCAAGACTAAGAGAAGTGTACACTTTTAACTCAGCATTGGTTTCTGTTTTAATTGAAGTACAATTAGCATGCAATGTTATAGGAGTTTCAGGTGTACAATACTGATCCAACAGTTCTATACATTACTCAGTGCTCACCCCGGTAAGTGCAATCACCATCTGTCACCATATAATGTTATTACGGTATTGACTGTATTCCCTATGCTATACTTTTAATCTGTGACATATTTTATAACTTGAAGTTTGTAGCTCTTAATCCCCTTTATCTATGTCGCCCATCCCCCACCCACCTCCCTCCCCTCTGGGAACTACTAGTTCTCTGTATTTAAGAGTTTGTTTGTTCCTTTGTGTTTAGATTCCACATCAGTGAAATCCTATGGTATTTCTCTTTCTCTGACTTATTTCACTTAGCATTATACCTTCTGGGTCCGTCTATGTTGTCCCAAATGCCAAGATCTCATTCTTTTTTATGGCTGAATAGTATTCCATATATATATATATATATATATATATATATCCATCCCACATCTTCATTATCCATTCATCTATTGATGGACACTTGGGTTGCTTTCATACCTTGGCTATTGTAAATAGTGCCATAATAAACACAGGGTACATCTTTTCACTTTCTTTGGGCAAATATCCAGCAGTGGAATTACTGGATCACATGGTATTTCTATTTTTAGTTTTTTGAGGAACCTCCATACTGTTTTCCAGAGTGGCTCCACCGGTTTGCATTCCCACCAACAGTGCACGAAGGCTCCCTTTCCTCCACAACCTCACCAACACTTGTTAGTTCTTGTCTTTTTGAGTCTAGCCATTCTGACAGGTGAGGTGATATCTCACTGTGGTTTTGATTTGCATTTCCCTGATGATCAGTGATGTTGAGCATCTTTTCATGTGTCTATTGTCTGTCCATCTGTTTTTCTTGTTTGGAAAAATGGCTATTTAGATCCTCTGCCCATTTTTCAGGTTTTTTCTTGATGTGGAATTTTATCAATTCTTTATATATTTTGGATATTAACCCCTTATTGGCTCTATCATTTGTAAATATCTTCAATAGGCTGCCTTTTTGTTTTGTTGATGGTTTCCTTTGCTGTACAGCTTTTTATTTTGATGAAGCCCCAATAGTTTATTTTTGCTTTTGTTTCCATTGCCTGAGGAGACATACCCATAAATATGTTGCTAAGGCTGACATCCCAAGAGATTATGGCCTATGTTTTCTTTTAGGAGTTTTATGGTTTCATGTCTCACATTTACATCTTTAATCCATTTAAGTTAATTTTGCATATCCTGTGAGAAAGTGGTCCAGTTTTCCCAACACCATTTATTGAAGAGACCGTCTTTTCCCCATAAGTTCTTGTTGCCTTTGTCATAGATTAATTGACCATGCAAGTATGGGCTTATTTCTGGGCTCTCTACCCTGTTCCATGTCTGCTACTTTTCTATCTCAAACATCTTCTTCATCCATCATTTCAAGCCAAACATAGTCTGTTCTACAACAAATGTTTTACAATCAGTAAATAGGAAAACAAATACAGAATAATATGGAGGTTTTCCTGGTTCACAATAAAGGAGAGTCATAACATTGGGAGCAGAAAAACTCCTTGGCCATTTGAGCTCAACTTTTAGAGAAGTAAAAATGAGCGCCAGTATTTGGGGCTCCTTTACCATAATATAGTCCTTCTCCTCATTTGGACGTTTAAATTGGCCTCAATTTTTCACTTTTGCAGACCTCCTCTAATCCTTATACAGTAATCTTTGTGAATCTGTGCTTTGTGAACTATGCCTACAGGATGAATTTCTAGAAGTGGACTGGTAGATAGGAAACAGCAAACTTTAGAACAAAGACCAAGCTCTGGTCACTTAGAGAGTCTGAGTAGCACTCACGTCCCAGTGCTTGCCATTTCAGACACAGGGTTTCTCAGGGATGAACAGTCTGTCAGTTCCCATCCTAAAGTGAGATTCAAAGAGCCTTTGGCCCCAAGTACGTAAGGCCGCGAAGAACTGGAGTAGGAAGTGAAGGACAAAGGTATGGAAAGAGACTGACCACGGAGCACGGCTTTCAAAATGAGCTGGAGAAAACAACAATCTTCCTGGCCACAGATGCACTCACTGTCTTTACCATCCATGAATCTGAACGATGCAGGACGTTCTAAAATGCCTTCTCCTACTGATAAGTAAAAATAAAGCTGGCGTCTTAACTGCTTACCAAAGTCCAAAACGCTTGACTTTTAGAAAACAGGCATTTGATGTCTTATAGCCGCACAGCCCTTCAGAATTTCACGCCCATTACCAACCATCCTGAGGCCTTTGAACCATCACTGAGGTGAGCAGGGGCGTCCTTGCCCTTGTTGTACACCTAAGGGAACAGGCTCCAAGAGGACAGGCTTGCCAAACGGATACAGCTGAACAGAGGCAGAACCAACGTCTGAGCACAGCTCCTGTCAGCCTGTGAACACAGAGGGAGGGACTAACTGGTTTTCTCTAACTGGTCTCTGAAGTTTCGCAGCGCCTCCTTCCGGCGCCAGGTCCTTCACGTTGCCACACTAAGCTGGAAAATGTAAATCAGTAAATCAACGCAAGGCCCAAGAGCTGCCATTTCCCGTCCCTCCCCCGCCTTTACCTCAGTTTCCATTGTGGGTGATGGCTAGTCCCTACCTGGTGATTTAAAATAACGGGGATAGGAAGGCATATGAAGATGGTGTCAGTCTTCAACTGTTCCACTCTCCTCAAATGAAGTTTAAGAGAAGAGGTGGTCCTATGTGTGTGTGCGCTCTCCGCTCCACTCAGCGTGGTCCTGTTGTACCCGCTCATGACGAGGGCCAACAAAGCAGTCAGAAATGTTTGATAGCCATCTTATGTCTATCATAATAAAAGGAGAGGGCTTTTATTTGGTATCTTTAAAATTTAATTTTTCTAATTATTATCTTTACTGAAGTATCAACCTACAGTGGACGGAAATTAAAATAACTAGTCCCCTGGCAGAAGTCCTTTGAGATTTGCTGTATTAGTATGTGAGCCTTCAAAATCACCTAAGGCTCCTCGTGGGAGTAGAGCTGTACAGATGAGCTTAGGATAATTAGCTATAAGGCAACTTCTGTGGGCCACCATGAAAAGATTTATACAGATTTATAATTTAGATTCAGACCAATTTTTTAAAAATTTCCATGGAAAGAAAGATGCAGTATCTTGATCCAGAGGACAAAAAAAGCAAACAAACACAAAGATGTTATGGTATTTGAGGGCTTACAAGCTCCATTTTTCTTTTAAAAGAAAAAGGGAGAAATACAGAAACCTTTTAAAGTTACTTCATAGTCATCTTATGAATGATTAAAAGGGTCTCTTTTAAAAAATTGAAAGCCGGGCGCCTGGGTGGCTCAGTCGTTAAGCGTCTGCCTTCGGCTCAGGTCATGATCTCAGGGTCCTGGGATCGAGCCCCGCATCGGGCTCCCTGCTCTGCGGGAAGCCTGCTTCTCCCTCTCCCATTCCCCCTGCTTGTGTTCCTGCTCTCGCTGTCTCCGTCTGTCAAATAAATAAATAAAATCTTTAAAAAAAAAAAAAATTGAAAGCCTTTCTCATCAGGAAAACACTAACTTATGCATTATTCATAGTGGTTCCAAAAGACCCATATCAACCTAAGTCTCTTATGGAGGGAGGTTCCTTGGGCACATTTTGGGATTGGGGACTAGTTCCAGGAAGTTGAAACATGTTATTTGTAAAGCGTAATCAATTCACTGATCCATCAGTATTTTCCCCTCAGGAAAGAACACCCATGGAGTAAAGACAAGCCCTTCACTGGAAAAGGAGTCCAGAGCTCTTGAAGGGAGGCAGGGGCAGGTGGGGCGAGGTGTAAGCACATCTGGTCCGAATGGACAGAGGTCATTCATGGGGAGGAAGAAACCAAAAGGGGACCCGAGGAAGCCCCAGAGATACATTCTGCCCTCAGGCCTTCAGCTGGCACCTTCTAAGAAGCTCTCAAACAGCTCTGACCTGTTTCGGTCAGACCCGGGCATACATAAGACAGTGAGATACCTGATTTGCTAAGACAAGTGCCCCCGTTGGCAGCTCTAGGAGGAGGGGCTCCCCCTGCAGGCGCGTCCTCTGTTCCACTGGCTTAGGGGGTGAGTGCACTCCTGTAGGAATGCTGACTCACGAGTGTTCAAACATTCTTATGCAATCTTTTTAACAAACAGTGGAATGAGACACGTTGATTAAAGGTTGTTAAGAGTTCAGAGAATATCTGGAATTTTTAACCATATGCTTTATTTGATGTCAACATCAAAGGAATATTTAAAAAAGTTGAATTCAAACCCATAAATTAGTAACATTTCAACTGCATAAAAAAAGTTGTTTTGCATCTCCCCATACTACATACCCTGTAACTGTACATAAGCATCTGCATTTCAAAGCACTTGGCACTTATAAAGTGAAAGGTTTCAAAATGCTAGGTAAACATCTGCTAATTTTTTTTTTTTTTAAACAATACTCCTTTGGAAAATTTCTCTTCTTTGTGCTTATAGTTCATCTTCTCAAGTCAGTTTCTGGAAACTTCTCTGGAAAAAAATAATCTAGAAACTGTTCTGGAAACAAAACTCACAGTAGGCAAGGGCTAAGTGCAGACATAAGCAGCTCCATTTTATAAACAAAGTTTCGACCTTCCATTTTATTCCACTGAACTTCTTTGAATGGTCCACGAAGATGATTCCATTTGCTATCTTGTAAAACATCACTTTTTGGAAGATCTTTACACTGGTTACGGGGAAACTGAACCATGATCTTGCTGCCACTTTCAGGGCCATTACGAACTGTGGAGCAAAACCAAAATATTAATACTCAATTTCCAAACTAGAAAACAAGGGTCCCACAACTTTCATTCTACCATGAATACAAAAACCTTGTCTACCAACTTGAAATCTCTTGTTTAAAAGTGCTTGTCATCAGGTCTCAACCGATACCAAAAGACTGAGATTATTCCCTGCATATTCTCAGACCACAATGCTTTAAAACTGAAACTCAATCACAAGAAAAAATTTGGCAGAAATTCAAACACTTGGAAGCTAAAGACCACTGCTCAAGAATGTTTGGGTCAACCAGGAAATCAAAGAAGAACTTAAAAAATTCATGGAAATCAATGAGAACGAAAACACATCGGTCCAAAACCTATGGGATACTGCAAAGGCGGTCCTAAGGGGAAATACATAGCCATCCAAGCCTCACTCAAAAAAATAGAAAAATCCCAAATTCACCAACTACCTCTACACCTTAAAGAACTAGAGAAAAAGCAACAAACGACGCCTAAGCCACGCATTAGAAGAGAAATAATTAAAATTAGAGCAGAAATCAATGAATTAGAAACCAGAAACACAGTAGATCAGATCAACAAAACTAGAAGTTGGTTCTTTGAAAGAATTAATAAGATCGATAAACCACTGGCCAGACTTATCCAAAAGAAAAGAGAAAGGACCCAAATTAATAAAATTATGAATGAAAGGGGAGAGATCACGACTAACACCAAGGAAATAGAAACAATTATTAGAAATTATTAACAACTATATGCCAATAAACTGAGCAATCTGGATGAAATGGAGGCCTTCCTGGAAACCTATAAGCTGCCAAGACTGAAAAAGGAAGAAACTGACAACCGGAATAGGCCAATAACCAGTAATGAGATTGAAGCAGTGATCAAAAACCTCCCAAAAAACAAGAGTCCAGGGCCTGATGGATTCCCTAGGGAATTCTACCAAACATTCAAAGAAGAAATAATACCTATCCTCCTGAAGCTGTTTCAAACAGAAGGAAAGTTTCCAGACTCATTCTATGAGGCCAGCATTACCTTAATCCCCAAACCAGGCAAAGACCCCATCAAAAAGGAGAATTTCAGACCGATATCCCTGATGAATATGGATTCCAAAATCCTCAACAAAATCCTAGCTAACAGGATCCAACAATACATTAAAAGGATCATTCACCACGACCAAGTGGGATTTATCCCCAGGATGCAAAGGTGGTTCAACATTCGCCAATCAATCAATGTGATAGAACACATTAATAAGAAGGGAGAAGAACCATATGGTCCTCTCAACTGATGCAGAAAAAGCATTTGACAAAATACAACATCCTTTCCTGATTAAAACTCTTCAGAGTACAGGGATAGAGGGAACATCCCTCAAGTTCATAAAATCCATCTATGAAAAACCCACAGCGAGTATATCCTCAATGGGGAAAAGCTGAGAGCCTTTCCCTTAAGATCAGGAACACGTCAAGGGTGCCCACTCTCACCACTGTTGTTCAACATAGTACTAGAAGTCCTAGCAACAGCAATCAGACAACAAAAAGAAATAAAAGGTATTCAAATTGGCAAAGAAGAAGTCAAACTCTCTCTTTTCGCAGACAACATGATACTTTATGTGGAAAACCCAAAAGACTCCACCCCCAAATTACTAGAACTCATAGAGCAATTCAGTAATGTGGCAGGATACAAAATCAATGCACAGAAATCAGTTGCTTTCTTTAACAACGCAACTGTAGAAAGAGAAATCAGAGAAACGATTCCATTTACAATAGCACCAAAAACCGTAAGATACCTCGAAATAAACCTAACCAAAGAGGTAAATGATCTATAATCTAGGAACTACAGAACACTCATGAAAGAAATTGAAGAAGACACAAAAAGATGGAAAAATATTCCATGCTCACGGATCGGAAGAATTAACATTGTTAAAATGTCTATGCTGCCCAGAGCCATCTATACCTTCAATGCCATCCCGATCAAAATTCCAATGACATTTTTCAAAGTGCTAAACAATCCTAAAATTTGTATGGAATCAGAAAAGACCCCAAATCGCCAAGGAAATGTTGAAAAAGAAAAACAAAGCTGGGGGCATCACGTTGCCCGATTTCAAGCTATATTACAAAGCTGTGTGATCACCAAGACAGCATGGTACTGGCACAAAAACAGACGTATAGATCAACTGAACAGAATAGAGAGTCCAGATATGGACTCTCAACTCTATGGTGAAATAATCTTTGACAAAGCAGGAAAGAATGTCCAATGGCAAAAAGACAGTCTCTTCAATAAATGGTGCTGGGAAAATTGGACAGCCACATGCAGAAGAATGAAACTCGACCATTCTCTAACACCATTCACAAAGATAAACTCAAAGTGGATGAAAGACCTCAATGTGAGACAGGAGTCCATCAAAATCCTAGAGGAGAACATAGGCAGTAACCTCTCTGACATCAGCCACAGCAACTTCTTTCAAGATACATCTCCAAAGGCTAGTGAAACAAAAGCAAAAATGAACTTTTGGGACTTCATCAAGATAAAAAGCTTCTGCACAGCAAAGGAAACAGTCAACAAAACAAAGAGGCAACCCATGGAATGAGAGAAGATATTTGCAAATGACACTACAGATAAAGAGCTGGTATCCAAGATCTATAAAGAACTTCTCAAACTCAACACCCAAAAAACAAATAAGCCAAAAAGTGGGCAGAAGATATGAAAAGACACTTCTCTTAAGAAGACATACAAATGGCTAACAGACACATGAAAAAATGTTTATCATCATTAGCCATCAGGGAAATTCAAATCAAAACCACACTGAGATACCACCTTACACCAGTTAGAATGGCAAAAATGGACAGGGAAAGAAACAAATGTTGGAGAAGTTGTGGAGAAAGGGGAACCCTCTTACACTGTTGGTGGGAATGCAAGTTGGTACAGCCACTTTGGAAAACAGTGTGGAGGTGCCTCAAAAATTTAAAAATAGAGCTACCCTATGACCCAGCAATTGCACTATTGGGTATTTACCCCAAAGACACAGATGTAGTGAAAAGAAGGGCCATATGCACCCCAATGTTCATAGCAGCAATGTCCGCAATAGCCAAACTGTGGAAAGAGCCGAGATGCTCTTCAACAGATGAATGGATAAAGATGTGGTCCATATATACAATGGAATATTACTCAGCCATCAGAAAAGATGAATACCCAACTTTTACATCAAATGGATGGGACTGGAGGAGATTATGCTAAGTGAAATAAGTCAAGCAGAGAAAGTCAATTATATGGTTTCACTTGTTGGTGGAACATAAGGAACAGCATGGAGGACATTAGGAGAAGGAAGGGAAAAATGGGGGGGGTGGAATTGGAGGGAGAGATGAACCATGAGAGACTATGGACTCTGGGAAACAAACAGGATTTTAGAGGGGAGAGGGGGATTGGTTAGCCTGGTGATGGGTATTAAGGAGGGCACGTTCTGCATGGAGCACTGGGTGTTATATGATAACAATGGATCGTGGATCACCACATCAAAAACCAATGATGTATGGTGACTAACATAATAAAATTTAAAAAAATAACAAAAAAAGTAAAAGTGCTTGTCACTTTTAATATGCCAACCGCCCTCCCCCCCAAAACCCAAAAAGCTTGCTTATTTACATGGTATAAATATTCATGAATTACTGTTTGTACCATAAAAATGCGGCAAGATCAATTCTGGCTTAGGAAAGTCAAATGTCCTATCTGTTTTCAGAAAACCAATTTATTTTTTTCTAAATAACATTTGATACATCAACACCTAATATATAATGAAACGCAAACATTTGGAATCAGGACTGGGAGAGATGAAGACAAGATTATTCTGAATTAAGAACTTCAGGTTTTAATGAGGCTTCATCACTCAGCAAAGAAGAAATGGGCATTTTAAAACTCTTACCAGTAAAGACCTAGCAATGACCAAGCCTGCAGATTCACAAGCTATGATTCTGTGGGAAAAATTTTCTAATTATGCTTTCAAATATTTAGAGCAGGTATTAGAAAAGACCACACTAAAGCCTTAAGTTTTCATTTTCAACTAAGTATCATTTTCAACTAGATAATACGTGTGTTTATTAAAGTGCCCTAGTCAGAATGGGTGCTTAAAAATCACCTCTACTCTGCTCCATCCCTTTACACCTTTGGCATCGGATGTGACTCTGGCCTGTTTGAGCAGTACATTTTCCAAAAGCATTTATCCATCAAAGGTTCTGAACTGCAGGGTAACAATGATGAAAGAAGTTTTCAGAGCTCTTAGGCAAATGTGTCACCAAACAAAACATTTTTTATGATCACTAGAAAGAGAATTAATAATCTGTTGCTCTGAATAAGAGCCGTGATCAGATAAGTGTTCAGTGTAACTCCTATATGAACTCACTGCAGAGAGAAATTACTCTGAAGTACGTCTAGCTAGTACAGGTAAACATTAAGGCCAAACTCCCGAAGATCTCTTCCCATTCGGGGCAGTGGCCAGTACCTGATATAGCATAGTCGCCGCTTGGGGAGGCCACGGTGATGGCGGATGCATTGCCAATGCTCTCTATGGGCCCAAGTCCCACATGATTACTGAAGCTGAGCACCTGCCAGCCCATGACTTTGGCGAGCTGCTGAACTGCATGCACCTGATGCTGTGACATCTGTAAATGAAAAAGGCAACTTTACACATAATCACCATGGAGATTTACTTTGCAGTAAACCTGACATCATGATTGTAAACTTTCCTTGGGGTGCTCACTGCCTCGCATGGGAATCCTCCTCTGTGACTACTGGCGGGAGGACCCCACCTTCCACTGCAGAGGCTAAAATAGCCTGAGACTCATCTTCCCTGTCCACTGGGCTGGAGCACAGGAACAGGACCTAAACTTGGCCAAGTGGAGACTCCCACCTGGATCACCAAATGTGGAGCAACATCCAAAGTAGCAGGGGTGGATATCTTCCAAATCTACTCGCCATCCTACTCAGCCCAGGGAGGATCACCCATATGGTTCCATCATCTGGCTCTGGGTGGGGTTCAGATAACGGGAGCCACCCACGTAATGGGAGCCAGAAGGATGGCGAGGAGGAAAGTAAGGTCGGGGCATTTATTCGCCCAGTACCCTCCCCTGTGAGGTTGTATCCTGTGACAGAAGGCAAGTGGTTTTCTCCAAGTGGCCTGTTCCACAGGACTCTCTCCTTCAGGGTACCCATAAGCCCTCCCCTTATCTCTCTGGCCTAGGACTGGTGACCACTAAGCTCCCCAGGCCTGGTTACCTGGTTATTACTAGCACTAGGTTACCACGCTCTCCCTGGTGTTCTCCAACACCCACACTTTTGTAAATCCTTAGTAAAATGACTGAGCGTGCCACCTACTTCCTGTTAAGATCCGGACTGATATACTGGGGAGTGCATTCTGCCACTAGTGAGGAAAGCAGGAGCATCAGGGTCTGCAAGCCTTCCCATAGATTCCCACCAGCCTTCCAATATATTTCTATGTATGCTTAAGGTAACCAAAGTCATTTTAGATGTAAACCAAGAGCTGCCATACCTCACAAATGCATTTTATTTACTTGGCACCAAAGAAGCAAGTCAGTATAAAAGATTATTGCTTCTAGGATGGAGAACATCAGTATTTTTTTAAAAAAATTTTATGTGAAAGATAAATGTGTATTTTGTGAAAGGCATATTAGCATTTCTAAACCTATTCTTTCTCCCACAACTCCATTTTTCATTGGATCATAACTCCATGAAGAACACAGGAAAAATACTGTTCTTAATTTTACAGAACAGGAAAGAGAGGTCCAGAAATTTGTCCAGTGTCACAAAGTGGAACTGGAACGTTTAGAACCCAGCACTTTCCATGCTGTCCCATAATACTGAAGAACTCTTTCTTAGGGCTTAAGTAGAATATTCCACTATTACGGTTTTCTATCGGATCTCCCCTTCCCTGGTTTTCTGGGGTTAATATTTCTTTACTTTTATGTGGTCCCAAAGGGGTTATAAACCTTGACAAACATGAGAAATAAAAAGTTTGTAATCCCAGAGCTGGTCCTTCATTTTTTTTTTTAAGATTTTATTTATTTATTTGAGAGAGAGAGAATGAGAGAGAGAGAGAGAGAGCATGAGGGGAGGAGGGTCAGAGGGAGAAGAAGACTCCTTGCTGAGCAAGGAGCCTGATGTGGGACTCGATGGATCATGACCTGAGCCGAAGGCAGTCGCTTAACCAACTGAGCCACCCAGGCGCCCCTGGTCCTTCATCTTAAACACAAACTAACTGGAAATAAATCTAGGACAGTTTATCAACATTTTCAGTTAACCCATAAGTTGTAAAATGTGCACTAGAAATTAAATAAATGGCAGAAAAAACTGGCTTTTTATAACTTAATATACTGGAACTACTTCTTACTCACTTTGTTCTTTAAGCAGTTACTAGAGGAAGAGGCTCAGGACTTGACATCTGCAACCCTTACCTGGGACAGAAGGAAATCCTGGAGCTCCTGCTCCTGATGAGACAGTGTAATCACTCTTCCATCTCTGTGTACAACTCGGATCTGCTCAACTCCGATATTCAACTGCAGCTGGATGGACCTTTATAGACACACATACTAAAAATCAGAAATGTTCAAAATTACCTTATACAGTGCCGCCAACATTAAACCTTAACATCAAAGAAACAGAAAATACCAATTTGGATAACCTGCGCTAACACCCAGAGGGAAGAGGGGTTTTCTCGGGTTCAACCTAACCATCAGACTCCCACCCGACTCCTCCAGGCCATACTGAGCACCAGTCTGCTCAGAAGGCTGCACGCGAGGAAGCACAGCTTTCCAGCCAACCACCGGAATCCACTGCTCCTCTTCTCGGGCAGTCCTTCTGTGGGGAGTCTGCTTCTCCCTCTGCCTCTGCTCCCCCCTCCCCTGGCTCATGCTCTCTCAGTCTCGCTCTCAACTGGAAAGGAAAGGGAAAGGGAAAGGAAAGGAAATGCTTGTTCCTGGGAAGTTCTAAGAGAATTACTTTCAACTTTAAGTAGCGTAAGTTGACCCCAGCTATAAAGGATGAGGAAAGGGGGGGGTATTCTACCACTTCCTTTCCCTCCTGATGCTATCAAGGTTACGTTTATCACTAACTCTTCTTCACTGAAGTTTACAACCCCTGGGTCCTGTAACCATAACCTCACATTTGTTTGGTCTTAGTTCTAAATGTAAATAACTTAATGCTGATATATTTTTTTTCCCACTCCTTTGTGCTCACTCTTTCTCTTAACATTTTATTATGGACATTTTTAAACACAAACACAAGTATATAGTACTATAGATTCTGTATATATAGTAATATATATAAGAATATTATCATGAAAGTCAATGGCACCATCACCCAGCTGTAACAGTTAAAATACATGCCAAACTTGTTTTATCTTACTCAACAGCTACTCTCCCACCACACCCCAAGTCACCCCAATTATTTTGTTTCTTTAGGTATGGGGCAGAAAACCATGATCCACCTTCACCTCACCATCTTTCCCTGGAAGCTGCAAGACTCATTTCCATTGTATATTCTTTTATCTTCTATATTCAATCTTTTAAATCATGCTCATTGACTATTTTTTGCTTTTAAAAAAGTGAATTAAAGCCTTGATATTAAAAAAGAGCAATTTAAGGATATTATACTCCCCTACACCTGAGAGTGGTGATTTTGCTCCCAGTGTGTTTTGCTCACTGGAGAGACCACTGTGGCTAGTTAGGTCTGCCTGAAATAGGCAACTAAAGTTTGAAAAATAACAGGCACTCATGGACCTTGATAAATGTTTGCTAGGGGCTCACTCACACTGACCTGGGGAAGGGCACTCAACTATATCCTGCCAGTTGTCAAATTTCAACGAGGCTCAAATGGAGGCCAAAAATGCCCTTCATGGCTAGTTGCTAATTTTATTAACTTCGTTTATTCCCTCCAGTTTTATTGAGATATAACTGACATAGATCATCGGTTAGTTTAAGGTGTACAGCATAATGACTTGGTAAGTGTATATATTGTGAAATGATCATCACAGTATGTTCAGTTAATACCCATCACCTCACATGCTACCCATTTTTCGTCCTGTGGTAAGAACTTTTAAGATCTACTCTCTTAGCTACTTTCAAATATACAACACAGTATTATTAACTGTAGTCACCATGCTGTACATTGCATCCCAGAACTTGTATGTTATAACTGGAAGTTTGTACCTTTTGAACACCTTTACCCATTTTGCCCCTCCTACCTATCCCCTCCCCCACCACCTCTGGCAACCACCAATTTGTTCTCTGTATATTAGCTTGTGCTTTGTGGATGTAAATCAGGAAGAATGCTTCTCTGTGAACAGTGGGGTCAAAATTCATTTCACCCCCTTGATGGACAGAGCTCTCAGCCCCATTTTAAGGGCATAATCATGAACTGGATTCGACTAAGTTTAGCCCCAAGCCATGAGAGAGCTACAAAACTTAGGCTGTTTCAGGTACAATATGGAGAGTATAGGCTCTAATATAAATGGCCCAGACTCACCACCACAGCCTCCAGGCAGCAACTGAAGCAGATCAGTCTGAGGTATGGTAGCCTCTCCCTCAATGAGGAGGTTCATTTTTTTTTTTTTTAACCACAACTCAAACATGTCACATTCACCTAACGGAGACTATTTCAGACCTTCTTACCTCTCATCCTCACACTCTACAGTTGATGTCATTTACCAGAATGTTATGCCACTGTAGCAAATAAAATCCAAAAATCTCTATGTAGTCACTCAACAAACATCAACACATAAAAAGCAACTTAACATTTTAAATGAATAACTTATTTTTGATACTTACTTGCATATCTGTTCATAACCTTGTGATGTGATTAAAACCTTCACACTAGATTCATAAACATCATTAATATTTGACCAGTGAGCCTGTATCTGAGGGTCCTCAATGCGACTTGCTAAGCTGTCAATGGTCGCAGCAGTTCTTTTAAAGAAAAGAAGTCGACATTTTTTAAAAAGTCATCATATAGAAGAGTAAGGTTATAAATCACTTATCAACGTTATGGCTATGTGAAAATGAGAGGACTACTTTTCGGAAGGACCACATTTGAAAAGCAGACTTTTCTTAAAAAGGGTCAGATGAGGTGACAAGAGCCTCCTCAGGCCACCCGGCGTGTGGGTGCCTGGCGCCCCACTATGACACACGCTCACGCACAGGCTTACTGCCTCTGAACTCCCATTTGTTTTCTCAGGAAAGCTTGTCAGAACACAAGGAAGAAGGGTACTTTCCGGGTACAAACCTCAGCACTGAAAAGAATATAAATCACTCACAGATGGCAGTCCTTGGTCCCCAGTAACACGGGACACGCCCACAGCTGAGACCCATTACTGTCACGGATGACAACCATTTTCCTGAGAAGCCAAAGAGACTTTCTGCACAACAAAAACTTTACACGCCAAGAAAGATAAATATGATATGTACACATGAGAGATAGGATTCAAGTCCTCATTATGCACCAAAGACTGGAATAAGTGCTTTCATGAGTGCTATTGTTTCATCTCATTAACAACCCTGTCAAATACATACCATTATTACCCCGACTTTTCAGTCTAGCAATGCTTAGTAATTTGCCTAAGGCTACCCACCCGTGAGCTGGGGCACAAAACCGGTAGCCTACCAGAGCCAAAAACCTGGGAGTGTAACCCTAGAGCCAGGAATCCTTCCTTTTTATACACACTAATCAACAGCCACTACCCAGAAAAAGCATAAATCATGAAAGTTAACCAAACTATTGGAGGTCCTCAGTTTCCAATTCTCTGATTCTAGCACTTGATTGGGAAGAGAAGGAAAAGGCCAGAAGAAATGCAAACAGCCACTGAGGACAAGGAGCATTTACATAAACGGGCTTGGGATTTGCGCTTTTACTGCGTCTGCTCTGGTACTGGTTTCTTTCAACCCCTTAACTTTTCCTTTTCCGTGACTTGCTTCCTTGACAGTGCTTCAGAAATTCCTACAGCGGACAGATATGTATAGGAGAGCGCTCATCTTAGTATTAGGTGTCAACAAACTGGAAATAAAAACTATCTGGCAATTGAGAATTGATAAAAGAAATCAGGGAATATTCACATAATGGGATATTACACACCTATTAAAGTATCTCTGAAAAACATCTAATGAAAGATGAAAAAAATTTACAATATTAAGTGAAGGCAGGACATAAAATTTTATGAATCCAGATTTTTTTTTTTTTTTAAAGATACACCCTGGCGCACATACATCAAAACACACGAGCATGTTAATAGTTGGTCTTGCTGTGTACGCTATTTATACAGATGAGGCTGATACACTGGAACATTATTTTCATAACTGGGGAAAACGGGAACATTTTACAAGCTTTGCTGCTTCCAAAACTGTAACTAATACTCTGAAATGTATAATGGTTCTAAAAATAGCTACTTCCATGCCCCTGACTTTTGGTTAAAGGTTTCTATAATTGAAATGCACAAGTGAAAGTAACAACAGTCACCTACCATATTTGATTGTTTATAAGGAACTTCTGCATACATTATTTAATTTGATCCTAAGACCAGACTCCTGTATCCCTAATTGACAGAGAAATAGGTGGAGGGCCAAAGACATGGAAACCGAAGTTAATTAGCAGGTGACTGAGCCCTGGCTTAGACACATTTTTTACCCCAAATGCATCATGCTCTCTTCACTAACATGTCTTCCTAATTCATTTTACTAAAAGCTGCAGACGTAAGTTTCCACTCAAAGACTACAAACTAATGTGCCATTAAGACCATGACTTGCGTTAGCAGGAAAAAATGAAAATCAAAAATAAACTATCACCCAGAGCAGAGTGAGCCCACACTCGAAAATTCTGAAAGAAGTACAAACAGCCCTCTTCACCAAGGACCAAAAATAAAATACAAGAGCACCTCTAGCACTTGAAAAAGATACACTGAGGTCCAATCATGCTAAGTTCTTTTGTAAATAATGTGTACAGAGCGAGCTGAGCATGAGCTGAGCATGAGCTTCGGAGCTACACAGACCTGGGCGTACTGCCTGATTGTGCTACTCTTCAGCTGTCTAACTTTGAGCGAGCTACACTTCTCTAGGCTTCAACCTTCCCATCAGTGAAAACGGGCTCACACCACCTACGCCAGAGAAGAAGAGCTAGATAAGTCAACATATGGGAAAGTGCCTTCTAAAGTCTTAAAAAGTGGATCAGCCAAAAAATACGGAAAGCTTCAAGAGAAGATTAAAATCAGTTAAGGAACAAGTTTCTGGTGGATGGGTCACTGAAGGTGAGGAGTTCTAGGAGTTCTAGAAGGTGAGGAGATAGGTCACTGAAGGAGGTGTGTCTAGGAGTTCTAGACACATTCCTAGTGAGGTGTCTTTCAAAACTGTAGCCAGTGTTAGAAACCATCTGGAAGGTGACATGGGCCCTGGAGCTAAGTCTTTCCCAAACCTGACAGGACCATCCCCAGCTGTAAACGCTCACCCTGCAGCCATCCTCCTCTTCCTGGGAAAGAAGGTTAGCACACACCAAAACTAATGTGTATGAGGTCACTAATAAAGGGTTTTCTTTTCCAAGAAAACCAGTTACTTTGTTCACCCTTACCTGCTCCTCAGGAAAATATGCTTTGCTTGTTTAATTATTTTTTCCAGAAGCCCCTCACTGGATTGTAGTGAACTGATTTCATTCTTATCGAAAGCTTGAGGACCTGAAAGTCTCATTCTCTTGTGACCAAAAGGTGCACTTGCTGGATGAGGCATCATGATGGAACTCAAAGTCTGTTTATGAAACTGTAACAAAAACAGCCATTTTTTATTAATTTTTTTTATTGAAGTATAATTGACTTATATTGGTTTAAGGCACACAACATCATGATTTGATGTTTGTATATATGGTAAAATGATTCATTCCAAGTCTAACTAACATCTGTCACCATAAAGTTACAAATTAAAAAATTATTTTAAAAAACAACTAATACTTACATATTAAAAACAGGGGAGGCTGGAATACATACTTCTATTAGGTTTCTTAGGGGATTCTTTTCAAATTAGCCTAAACTGTGAACCAGCACTCTGGAAACACAGTTCTAGACAACCTGTAAGCAGAATATGTCCTGAAATAACTTGATTATCCTGTTTACAGGCTCTGGCAAGACATCTTCCCCATCACACAATCAGAATCACTCTTCCCTCTGCACCCTGCATGCTTTTCTTACGTGCCTGTATATAACTTCCAGTATATTTCTATCACTATAAGCTATGCTTGGGAACAGAGACTGATAATCCTGATGATCTGTGTATTCCCCCAGCACAGAGCAAAGATCTTTCATATCACAGACCCTGAATGTCACAGAGAGGAGCTTTTACACATTCACTGCACTGGATATGCTTACTACAATGCAAGAAGAAACATTTCACTCATTACCTCTCTAATTAGTAGATGCAAATTATGCTCTAAGACATAAAGATGGTCCTCCGGACTTTGCTTCTCAGTAGCAGATTTTTGGGATTTCTTATCATTTGAGGAATGGCATAAAGAAATCAATAACTGCAAGCCTATTTATAAAAAGAAGTAGAACAGATGCAAATCACCTAAGACATGGACAAGCACAATTGTCTTCCTAAAGTATAATCAGAGCCCATTCTCAAAAGAGCCATTCTAAACCTGAAGATCAGGCTTCATGATTAACATTTTCAGACCAAAATGACTATTCATGAGTATAACAAACTATTACTTATTGTAACAATTCAAATTGACCTTAAGATGTGGTTAAAGACAGGTGAACAGAAGCTGTATATTAACTAATTAGTTTCTTCTTGCCTTTTAAAGAAAGCAAAACAAAACACAACAGCATTTTTGAGAAAAACAAAAAAACACAGAGCTGGTATCTGGTCTTACTGATGAGAAGACAGATACTCTTCCTTGCTGCCATGAAAACCAGGATGGAATTTTTCACTTCTAAAAACCCATTCCTTTGACAAGACCCAAGAAGATGCATCTCAGAATTTATATAAAAAAACAAGAGCACAGCTAACTACAGACTGATCTCCAAGGCAGGTCTGACTGCTCTAGAGTAATATTAATTAAAATCCCAATTTCCACAAATTTAGGAGTATTATGGGTATTCAATAACCGCTGACTAACATCTCATTTAGACAGTAAGATAGGGTCCCTGAAAAATCTTCCACAAATGGTGTTAGCACAGACACCTCAAAGCTACTGCTGCCAAGTAACAGCACTGCTAGTACAAATGTTTAATATATATATTAATATATATTAATATATCATATAAATCCAGCAGTTACACTACTTAGGACACAGGATGGAATTAGCAACGTGGTTTGCCCTGCATGCTTTATGAGCTACCATTATGGATAGCAGGCCACGTCTTTGCTCTTACTGTTCCAACACAGCCAAATATGTAGTTAACCCCTCTGTTCTGTTCCCCAAACCACAAAGTCATGTTTATAAACTCGAAAGGGTTGGCTGCTCTTACTTGGAAAGGGCTGAGAGATAATCTGGTTTTTCACCACAATGTGAGGGATCTGTGACTTAATTTGAACAGCTTCCCGAGACAGCTGTGCAAAAATTTCTTTACACAAGAGAACGTTTTGTGCTGCTTCTAATTTCGTCTGCCAATGTGGGGAACCTGAAAGACAGGGGACATATGTATATATCAATTATCTAACTATATTATGTATGAATTAGCTTAAATGGTGATCTGGATACATATAACAGAAGTTCAGAAAACATTATAATTAGAGCATATCCTTTCCAAAATACAAAAATTTTCCTTTCTTTTACACAGAGAAAACTGGTGAAGAAGTTCAATCTTAAAAAAAAAGACTGCACAGCTATTCACTAATGGTTAATGAACAGATTATAAATAATAAATTTCCAATTGTTCTTACTCCAAAGTACCTATTTTCGTCTCTACATTTATCATCAGTTTATTTGGGAATGTAAGCTCAGACAGAACCAGAAGTTAGAGGGCAGAACATAACTACACCTGGTTTGGATTTGGGCAAAGGTCGTTTGAAGAGGTTGACTGTGCCCAGATCACCTATGTCTGGAGCCTGTTTCTGAATTGAAACCTATGGGACAAAAAAACATGAAAAGGTGTTAGCAAATTAGCTTCTGGGCTAAGTAATAAGAAATTACTTAAAGTACTTGACAAATACCTTGATATAGGCAGACCCCTCTAAATCGCTAGGAATTTGAACATCAAGGGGGCAGTAATCTTCAGGTATCTTCTTATCCAGATCAATATCTGTATTCTTTATTACTTCAAATGTACCATGATGGGGAAAGAGAGATCCTAATGGGGTATTAAAAATAGGAAAATAAGAACAGTTAACACATTAATTTAACATACATTAAGTATATAGTATTTCACTGAATCATAAATTAAACCCCCATCCAAAATGTGCTTTGGGGGGAACGCGGTAAGGGTAGTAAGCAAAGGGAAGAAAGGAAGCAGGAAAAAAAGTTATTTACCTTAAAAAAAAAAAAAAAGACTCCTTGGTCTAATGGTATCATTATACTATGAACTCCATGGGCCATCAAACTGTTTTATTCCAATGGAATTTGGCTGATAAATTTGATGAAATGGATGTACTTCTAGAAAGTACTTCCTCCGATTTAAGCCTGAGAGATGAAACACTTCTGGAGATAAGTTTCTATAATAAGGCTGCAACTGAAGTGTTCTGACTCCAGCCAGAAGAACAAAAGGATACCACCTTTTTTTCAACCAGTTCCTAAATTTTTATGTGATAACCTTTTGTGTAGTTCAGAAATCTGAGTAAGTTGTTCTGGGCTGCTGAATTATGTGAGGAGTGGGTGGTTATATGTACCTGCTGTTTTGTAACACAGGAAAATGTTCAAGATCTTGCAATTAAAAACAGAACGTAGGGGCACCTGGGTGGCTCAGCTGATTAAGTGTCTGCCTTCAGTTCAGGTCATGATCTCAGGGTCCTGGAATCAAGCCATACTCAGAGGGAAGGCTGCTTCTCCCTCTTCCCACCCCCCGTCTCTGCTCATGCTCTCTGTCTCTCTCTCTCAAATAAATAAATAAAATCTTTAAAAAAAAAAAAAACAGTTAAAAATAAAACTACCCTATGATCCAGTAATTGCATTACTAGGTATTTACCTAAAGGATACAAAAATACAGATCTGAAGGGGTGCATTCACCCCGATGTTTATGGCAGCATTATGAACAACAGCCAAACTATGGAAAGAGCCCAAATGTCCTTCAACTGATGAATGGATAAAGAAGGGGTGTGTGGGGCACCTGGGTGGCTCAGTTGGTTAAGCGACTGCCTTCGGCTCAGGTCATGATCCCGGAGTTCCGGGATCGAGTCCCATATCAGGCTCCCTGCTCAGCAGGGAGTCTGCTTCTCCCTCTGACCCCCCTCCCTCTCATGCTGTCTCTCATTCTCTCTCTTGCAAATAAATAAAATCTTAAAAAAAAAAAAAAAAAGGTGTGTGTGTGTGTGTGTGTGTGTGTAACAGAATATTATTCAGCTATCAAAAAGAATGAAATCTTGCCATTTGTAACGACGTGGATGGAACTAGAGTGCATTATGCTAAGCAAAATAAGCTGGTCAGAGAAAGACAAATACCACAGGATTTCACTCATGGGAAATTTAAGGAACAAAATAGATGAACATGTAGGACAGGGGGAAAAGAGAGAGAGAAATAAACCATAAGAGACTCTTAATGATAGAGGGCTGATGAGGGAGGTGGGTGAGGGATGGGCTAGGTAAGTGATGGGTATTGAGGGCACTTGTTTTTTTGTTTGTTTTAAAAAGCATCTTTAATGAGGTATAATTGTTGTACCAAGAGGCATGCATATTTAACATGTGCAATTTGATGAGTTTGGAAATATGCAAACATTCATATTACCACCAGCACAATCAAGGTAACAGACATATCCAACACCTCCAAAGTTTCCTTGTGTCCTTTTTTGAGTTAATTTTTGTTTTTGTTTTGTGGTAAGAACATTTAACCTAAGATCTACCCTTTTATCAAAATTTGTTAAGCACTGTGCTGTATAGCAGATCTCTAGAACTTGTTCATCTTGCTTAACTGAAACTCTACAGCCACTAAACATCTCCCCATTTCCCCTTGTCCACAGTTGAGGGCACTGTTATGATGAGCGAGCACTGGATGTTATATGTAAGTGATGAATCACTGAATCCTACTCCTGAAGCCAATATTGCACTGTATATTAACTAACTAGGATTAAATAAAAATTTGGAAAAAAAAAATCAGTATAAAAATAAGTATGTAAATATGGGGCGCCTGGGTGGCTCAGTCAGTTAAGTGTCTGCCTTCAACTCACATCATGATCTCAGGGTCCTGGGATCGAGTCCTACGCCTGGCTCCCTGCTCAGTGGGGAGTCTGCTTCTCCCTCTCTCTCTCTGACCCTCCTCCCTGCTCATGCTCTCTCTCGCTCTCTATCTCAAATAAATAAAATTAAATAAATAAACTTTCTGCTAAATGTACCTAAAAGTACCTATGTAAATAATTTAGATTCAATTATGTAAATATATTTATATAAGGCAACAATAAAAGTAATTTTAGCTTATCAGGTTTATGGGTACAGAAATTAAAGAGAAGCAATATATTACAGACTATGTAACATTACAGTCAATCCTGTATAGTTTTTTGACAAACGACAGTCTAAAAGCAGTTTTTAACAGCGATCTATACCTGCACTTCTGTAGCTCAGATCTCCAAGAATCTTATCCCCAACTTTCCTGAGTTTCCAGTGTTGCCGTAATCTCAAAAGCTCAGAGTTGAAGTCTCTCTGCAGCTTATTTTCTTGGTTTTCAGTAACTGACTTGGTCAGTCTTTCTGCCCCCTTCAACAGGATCTGTGCTGCTCCAGCGAGCGACTTCTTTTTTGATATCAACTGCAGTGTCTGTGGATTCTATCAAAAACAGTAGTGTAGTTCTGTATTTTTAAATGATTTCAACACTCTCTTAATAATAAAATACCTACTCAAGAGAAAATTGAGAAATTAAGGAAAAGCAGGTAACACTGTTTTTTGAAAAGTAACCTTAACCTATTTCTCTGGTCAACTCCAATAAACTTATGTTAAACCACAAACACCACACTGGACTACAAATCAGAACCTACCCAACTCTGCCCAGCTTAGATGAGGTTCCCCTCTCACACTGTGCGCATGCCCACCCCCACCCATGTGTACACCCTTTGTGGCGCTCATTATACTTCTGATGAAAGTCTGTCATTCCTGCTTGAAGGTCATCCACATGATGGTTAAACCTACTATGTCCACAGACCCTAGAACAATGGCTGGCACATAATACTTGATTTCTGGAATAAATAAATGACCCCAATGAGTCCAGCTGTAAAATTATCTTATATTATGGCAAGCTACTAATGTGCCTTTGGAAAAAAGACTGAAGCACACAGCATTAAAATTAATGCACTTCACCACAGGCTGATTTTTGGAAAACTGATGAGAAATCATAATCTATGTATTATATAAACATAGATAAATATCCATAATCCCCACCAATCTGTGTACTCTAGTCACCAGATACACTTCTAAAAAGACAAATTTAATACAAGAAAGTCTTCTGACTGCATGAGTCAAAATCACCAAGTCTCAGAAAATGTCCCAATAATCTTCTGACCGTATCAGGGGACCTAATTCTAAGTTTTTGGAGAGCTCAGGAAATTCCTGGAGACTCCTGGGTGGGCAGAGCACAGGAAGGTGGCAAAGGCTGTAGGCTAGGAATAAGGTGCTAGAGTTCTCGTCTTGGCGGTCTAACTACTGGCTTTACTGCATCTGAACACATCACACAACTCTCTGGGCCTCAGTTTTCTCTCCGCAAAATGAAGGGAACCGGACTGAATGGTCTCTAAGAAGTCTTCCAGCACAGTGTTTCTAGATTCTGAAACTATCACCACATGAGTAATTATATTCAATTCACTTCACTTACAAAAGGGTAAAAACAACTGTTACTTCCTCTCCTTGCCACTAACTTGGTCATGGACCTGATGCTCGTTTTCCTCAAGAACCTCCTAAATGGCCTCCCTGGTCTCAGGCTTTTCATTCACCAATTCATCCTTCTGTTGTCTCTCTTTCATCTTCTAATGTTCAAAAACTGAACATGCTCTTCATCAAACTGCAACAATTTTACCTAGCTTTCAGTAGATTCCATAATTTGGCCCAATTTTTCTAACCAGGCCCTAAAAAGAGGTTGAAGGGGAAAACGGGAGACTTCGAGAAAATCACTTGTTGAAGGACCCAGGGCTGGTGAGGGCAGAGGCAGGATTTGAACCCAGGTCGGTCTGACTCCAAAGCCATATTTACCATCATGTTTTTGTGTAACACACTACAGATCAATGATCCAGGCTGTAAGAATTTGTTAAGATCTGGGAAACTTTAGGGGCACCTGGGTGGCTCAGTCGGTTGGGCAGCTGACTCTTAGTTTTGCCTCAGGTCGTGATCTCAGGGTAATGAGATCAAGCCCCATGACAGGCTCCATGCTCAGCATGGAGTCTGCTTGTCCCTCTCCCTTTGCTCTTCCCCGAGCTCCTGCTCTCAATCTCTCTAAAATAGATAAATAAATCTTAAAAAAAAAAAAAAAAAAAGATCTGGGATACTTTAAAGTATTACATTACTAATGAAACTTAACTCTTCTGAGGGTCACAGGGCCATTAATAAAATAATAAATAAAGGAGATGCTGTTTTATGCCTTTGCTTTGAACCGGTTAGTCTTTAAATCTTTGTCTGGACTTAATTTTGCATGAAAGGAAAAGGAGACAGTAGGCACACAGCCTGAGAAGTGATCCTGGGACTTAATAAAATGGTACCATTACTCAACTGAAGCCCACACATACCTGTTTTGGAGGAAGTGCATCCTGAGAGACCGGATCAAGAGTCATAAATTTTTTATCCCTAACAATACTGAGGACATCATAGAGAACACACATCTCTGTCAGGGCACTTCTCAAATTGTTCCTCACTGAGTCCCAAGGCCAAAGGGAAGGCTGAAATTTTACCAACCCTAAAAAAAAAAAGAAAAAAGAAATTCACAGGTATTAGTTATACTGACTAGAAGACAAATGTTTAGATGTTACAAGTACTAAAAGAAGAAACAATGACTTTTTATTTCAAATCATTTCCTGTTTTATCCCATTCCATCCACCGTTTCTTGAATCTCTGTAAATATTTAAGTTAGCATTCCTACAATGGCAAAACAAATATGGTATCTAATTTCCACAGCTTAAATCTAGCATTCCAACATTATAGGTAGGCATTTCAGTATTTTTTTAAATTTATGCAAAACACCTTTTTCTTCCAGCTTTTAAAACTTGAATAATTGGAATTTCCAAAATAAAGTACAAAAATAAAAATGTCCTATAACAGCAGCATTCAGATATTAAACAATGTTAACATGCCTTCCAACCTCTTAAATCATTTCATTAATTTTCACCAATACATGCTCACTGTAGAGAGTTCAAATAGAGTCACAGAGTAAAAAAGTAAAGGTTTTCCTTTATTCCCCACCCCCAATTTTCTCCTCTTAATATATGTTTTTCAATGCATTTACATACATTTACTTCTGTTCTTCTATTACTTGCTTTTTTCTCCAATTATTATATCCTAGAGATACTTCCATGCCAGCACATATAGATCTATTTCATTCTTTAACACTGTGTGACATTCTGGAGCATGTACATACAGTAGGTTTAACCATTCCTACTTAATGGACAGGTACATTGGTTTCACTAACGCTAGTACTGGTAAACATGTTGAACACACATCTGTGTACATGTATAACTTTTTCTGTAGGTTAAATTCCTAGCTGTCATTTAGTGGGTCAAAAGAAATGCACATTTAATACTTTTGACACATATTGAACAGCTCAACTGTCTTCCAAAAAGGTTTTACCAATTCACATTCCCAACACGAACATTAAGTCTTTTAAGTTGCTGCCAACGTTATGCACGAGAAGAGTGTTTTAATTTGCCTCTTCCTACTAGTAAGATCTGAAGTCTTTTTCAGTGAGCTGTTTATACCTTCAGGCTATTTTTCCAGTGAGTCGTCTTTTTCCCCCCCAGTTTGCAGGGAATCTTTGAACATCAGGGATTGCAACCACTGTGTCCTATATGCTGCCAATACTTTTCCCAGTCTCTCATTATTTCTTACTTTATTTGTGGCATCTTTTTCCATTATTATTTTAAAATTTTATGTAATTAATCTCTCTCTGGCTTTATAATTTCTGTGTTTCCTATCTTGCTTAAGGTCTCTTCTGCTCCCAGAGTTCTATATTTATAACTTCCTTCCAATCTTTATTTTATTCTCTTCATTGGCATTTCGATCCTTGTGGAAGTAATCCGAAGTGTGAAGTACGAGATAGTATTTATTTTTTATTCCCAAATGGACCCCCAACTGTCCTAACACCACTGGCTCAAAAATCTGTCTTTAAATTTATACAGGGTCTGTTGCACATACCCAAATCAAGAATTGTATTTTTTATCCCTGACAATACTGAGAATCCAAAACCCACCCATACTTTTTCTATTCTTTCCTAACTAGTCTCCCTCCTTTCAGTTTTGTTTTCCCTGTAACCCACTTGCTACATAGGATCCTGAGTAATCTTTTTAACATACAATCACCTGTCTACTTAAAATCCTCCCAAAAGCTATCAGTTGTTCTTCTAATAAAACCCAAATGCTTATCTTGGCCTACTGGCTCGGCATGATTTGGCCCCCGCCCACCTCTTAGACCTTGCCTCATAGTCCGGTCAATACAGACCTCCCTCTTTTCAGCAGGTGTTATTAGCATCATCCCCATTGCACAGGGAAGCAAAGTAACTCGGACAGTAAGTGGCACAGCAGCGATATGAACCGCAGGCCTCTTAACCAAATGTGCCACATTACAGACTTCATCAGTGACAGTGTCTCAAGTGCTCCAACTCAAGAAACCGTGCAGAAGGATACGGAGCATTAAGAGGCAGGCAGCGCCCTAAATTGTCCAGCTGTGAAAAGACCCCAGTGAGCACGATCACTCTTCCGCACGGGTGTTTTCAAAGTTCGCCCACGCACCGCATCTCGCCCAGCGCGGGAAAGCCCGAGTGGCAATACCACGGCGGGTACGGGGGCCCTCAGACCGGCCGTCGGACTCGAGCGGCACACACGGGCCTTACCTTCCTCATCGTCCTGGTCCGCGCTGGACCCGGCGCCTGCCCAGTCCTGCGCGTCGCCCTCGGCCCCGGCCGCCTCCTCCTCCTCGGAGCCCGAACCCTGGCTGAAGTCGATCCGCTGGGCCAAGCGCGCCAGGTTCTGCGACATGGACAGCGGCTGCAGGTACGTCTCAGTGCCATCCAGGCCCACCTCCTGGACCTGCTTCTCGCAGGCGGACTCGATGCTGATCCGCACAGCGCGCACTCCAGACATGCTGGCGCCGTCGGGGGGCGTCGGAAGGATCCCCCGCGCAAGCCAAAACCCGAGGTGGGAAGCAGAGGCGCCTCCGAGGAGAGCCCGCAAGCCGGGAACCGCGGTGGCTCCGCTCACCTCGGAAAACCAAACCCTGCTGTGGGGCGGGACACAAAGCCGAGGGCCAAGCGACTTTCCCAGAATGCACTGCAGCTCCCTGCCCCGGCTCGGAGTCTCCCGGAACCCAACTGGCAGGCGCCGGCGCTCCGGCCTTCCGGGGGAGCGCTTCCGGTTTTCCTAGCGCTGCGTTGGGAAAAACTTCCTGGTCTGTAGGAGGCGTGGCCAGCAGCGAGAGGGAGGAAGAGGGGGAGGGACTCCGGTGCCGAGGGCGTGGATTGGCTGGTCCGTGGTGTCCGTCTGCATTTTAAAGTGTTAACTTGCTTGTGGTGGTGGAGTATGGAAAGCTCAAGACGGCGAAGAGAAGTAGGGAAAAGGAAGTGAATGGGTCCCTGGGTCTTAGCAATGAGAGGCCCTCTGACAATGCTGAGATTTGAGGGTGTACACCTAAAGAAACATGTCTGCAGAGTTATAAGGACGTAATTTGAGGAAAAACATAAATCGTGCTTATCATTACTGCATAATTAGCATATGTTTTCCTGTTAGTTGTAACCTCTTGGACAGCGACTATCTCCAGGAAGCATAATAGAAACTGGCACGTAATATGAGCTTAATTTTCATTTCATGCCTCAGTAACTTAGAATAAGTGAATACTTTAAAAGATTAAGAAGCAATAGTCTAACTTCAGTCTGAGTCCCCAAGAGTATGTCATTAGTATTAATTCCAGAGGATAGATTATTTTATATTACAAAACTCTAAGGAATTATGTATATATCATTTTTTTAAAGATTTATTTATTTGAGAGGGGGAGAGAGAGAGAGAGCATGAGCTGGGTGGAGCAGCAGAGGGAGATGGAGAAGCAGATTCCCTGCTGAGTAGGGAGCCTGATGCGGGGCTGAATTACAGGACCTTGAAATCATGACCTGAGCCAAAGGCAAACCCTTAACCGGCTGAGCCACCCAGGCACTCATTTATCATTGATGAGGGATAGAAGCAGAAAAATGTTTACCATCAGCCCAAAAGGTTGACCTATAGCCTGCATGGCTTTGATAAGGATCAAACAGGTGCTGGCTCCTACATTCTTTTTTTCTTAGTCCATTCTTTTTTTTTTAATTTTATTTTATTATGTTATGTTAATCACCATACATTACATCATTAGTTTTTGAGGTAGTGTTCCATGATTCATTGGTTGCGTATAACACCCAGAGCTCCATTCAATACGTGCCCTCTTTAATACCCATCACCAGGCTAACCCATTCCCCCACCCCCTCCTACATTTTTTTTTTTTAAGATTTTATTTATTTATTTGACAGAAAGAGACACAGCGAGAGAGGGAACACAAGCAGGGGGAGTGGGAGAGGGAGAAGCAGGCTTCCTGCCATGTGGGAGCCCGATGCGGGGCTCGATCCCAGAACCCTGGGATCATGACCTGAGCTGAAGGCAGACACCCAACGACTGAGCCACCCAGGCGCCCCTACCTACATTCTTAAAGAGTCTCATTGACTGCCTTTACATCTCACCCATAGTTAATATGGAGCTGATTGCTAAGCACCAGAGAAATCTTGCAACGTAGTTTTACAAGTAGAAATTTGAAGAAGACATTTATGATCTAATACTCTCACATGTCCCCTTCCCCTTGAGCACTAAGTTTAGAACCACCAGCTTCACACAGAAGTGCAGCTCCTGCCCACAGGTCCTGTCCCCGTGCTATAAAAAAAGCACCTTTTTGCAGAGAAAATGTCTCGAGTTTTTTTCTTTTTCTTTCTTTCTTTCTTTCTTTGAGAGAGACAGAGAGTGTGGGGGGAGGGGCAGAGAAAGAGAGAGAGAGAGAGAGAGAATCTTAAGTAGACTCCATGCTTAGTAAGGAGCCCGAGATAGGGCTCTCATGACCCTGAGTTCATGACCTGAGCCAAAATCAAGAATCAGATGCTTAACTGAGTCACCCAGGTGCCCCTCAAGACTTCTTTTCTGATCATTTGTAGCCCCACATCAGTCATGAGTCTTTTCAAGTTTTATACTGACCAAGACAGTATTTAAGTTTTTGAATTACTTTCCTAAGGTATTTAGGAAAATAGGATTGTGCTGGTGTCACCCTCTACCAAAACAATGTGTGTTGGGAATGTGAATTTTCAAGAGAGACCTATTTTTTGGCAAGCTCAACAGGGATTCTTTTGCACAATCATGTTTGAGAACCACTGTATTCTTTATGTATAAGTTTGTAAAGGTTTTACAACCTTTAAAATTTGATTAGTATTTATCGTTGGCTCTATCTGAGCCCATCACTGTGCTAAGTGTTTTAATCGTATTTCTTATTTCATCTTTTTAAGGTTCTCATCCTTCTGCATTTTGGCCCTGGCATCTGCTATCTCATCTGGGTTAGGGCACACACCTGAGAATCAGAATCTAGGCTGCGCTCAGCTGGTGGGTTCTACTTCACGATCTAGGGCTACAGGTCATTCAGATAACTCTGTACCATGTGTCTCTCATTGTTCTTGGACTAGCAAGCTGTTCAGGGTATGTTCTTATGGCGATGGCAGAGGTACAAGAGGGAAGCTTTGCCTGCATTACATGTCTGACATTCACATGGCCCGTGACCAAGCCTAAAAGTCAAGGATGGGAGAGAGGACACTCTTTTCAGTTAGAGGCACTGCAGAGTTGCAGGGAAAGGGGTGTGGATAAAGGGAGGAACAAGGCCAACAATCTGTCACATATGGAAAATAATCCAGTTACATTCCCCCATCTCACACCATAAATAAAAATTCCAATTGAATTAAAGATCTAAGTATAAAAAACAGAGTGAAGTCTTCTGCAGACTCAGATATATGAGACTAAGTCCCATTTAAAGGGAAGTGTTCTATGAAAATTATGTCAGATTTTGAGGGTTCATGGAGCTCAAGTCTTCCTAAGGGAAGAAATGAACCCCCCCACCATCTTTCAAGGCTGAGGAGACAGAGATCTGCTCGGATCTCAATTTAAACTCCAAGGAACACATGGAATAACACGCTGTAAGTAGAGGTGGCCTGAGTCTTATTTAAAATACGACCCTAACCCAACCCAGCTCAATCTCTGATTACACTGAGGAAATCAGTCTCTCACTTTATCTACCTTACAAAAGAAAGGTAGAAACCCTCATCAGTGGAAGATACCTAGAACACACAATATCCAGCATATAATGGTAGTAGTAGTTGTAGGTATGTAAAAAGGCAGGCAAGAGTGACTGATAATCTAAACCTAAAACAACAGGGACGTATCCATGGATGATCAAAACAATGGAGATGGTAGGCAAGAACTTTAAAATAACTGATCAATAATGTCAGATGAAAATGGATGAAAGGGTTTCAACAGAAACTGCAAATGATTTTCTATTCTATTGGGTTTGGTTGTCCATCACTGTACCAAAACCATACTCTTACTTTAATAAGTTTATAAATTTTGGTATCTATATATCAAATACCCTGACCTTGCTGTCTTGATAAATCTTTGTTTAATCTTGGCCCTTTGCTATCCCATATTTTAGAATCAACTGGTTCTATGAAAAGCCCTACTGGAATTAGACTGGCATGGAATTGATAAGAAATGCTTCTGATGCTTCTGTGATATTGTATTTTCCTAGATATATTTATTTTGCATGTTTTTAGGTTTTCAACAGTTTTATAATTTTCTCCATGATGACTATATATAATCTTTGTTAAAGTACTTTTGATAACATTGTAATTGATATCTTTTTCAAATTTATATTTTTAACTATTTCTTAGTGGTATGAAGAAATGCAACTTATTATTATACATTGATTTTATATTTTAGAATCTTCTTCTTTTTTTTTTTTTAGAATCTTCTTGAACTCAGTCTAATAATTCCACTATAAACTCTCTTGAGTTTTTTAAGAATCAATCATGTTTTCTGCCAAAATTTCTCCCTTTTCAGTTGTTATTCTTTCTTGCTTGCTTGCTTTTCCTGGCTAGAACCTCAATCATTGATGATATTAGGCATACTTGTCACATTTTGTTTTTTAAAATATTTTATTTAAGTAATCTGTACACCCAACAAGGGGCTCGAATTTACAACCCCAAGATCAAGAGTCACAAGCTCTATCAACTAAGCCAGCCAGGTACCCCATCATATTTCTAATTTTAAAGTGAATATGGCATTAACATATAACTTTGTAAATACATACATAGCACTTACAAAACTGCTTCTTAGAGCATGCACTAGGTGTTAGCTGCATAGAATCAGGGGATCCTACTTTGTTCACAACAATCTCCTTACTGTTTCTTTTTTTTTCTTTCTTTAAGATTTTATTTATTTATTTGAGAGAGAGACAGTGAGAGAGAGCACATGAAGGGTGAAGGACAGAGGGAGAAGCAGGCTCCCTGGGACTCGATCCTAGGACTCCAGGATCATGACCTGAGCCAAAGGCAGACACTTAACCAACTGAGCCACCCAGGCACCCTACTCTTTCTTAAACATACAAAGTCCCCTCCCTGCCTCTGGACTTTTAAATCTGCCAGGAAGGATGTTTCTCCAAATAATTTCATGATTCACTTTTTCATTTCTTTCAGGTCTCTGCTAAAATGTCTCTTTATCAGAGTCTTTTCCTGATCTCCCTATATAAAATGTGTAATAAAGAGTCTGATTCCATTTTTTATGTTGACTGCTGACAGCTTTTAAGCATTATTCCTCCCTCTTCCCATTCTGCTCCATATTTGAGCAAGCTGATAAGCCTGGCTGCTCCTTCTTTGATACTTGTGGGAAATTTAAACTGCATATGGAATCATCACCCTGGCCCTAACCCTTCACCACCATAAAAACCTCAAGCCAGTCTCCTTTCCCTGTTCTCTCAAGCCAGTTTTGGATCTGCTTGGGAGCTGTCCAGCTTTCCCTAGAAAGCCTCATTATGCAAGCAGTAAATCCTTTCAAACCCTGTTGGGGTGTGTGTGACTTTTTCCTTCTCGACATCCAAACCGAAGTTTGGGTGATGAGTTCATCCTGTCTCACGTGAGATGGACACAACAAAATAGCATCCTCCTTTACAGTCCATCCTATGCTTTATTTTTCTTCATAGGACTTAATACCACCTGTCATATTATATATTTGTTTATTGTGAGTTTTCCCCCAAT